TAGTACATAAATAAATGATGGGATGCCAGACTATTTTCTTGCAAATTGTACCAATAATTAGAGTACATGGTATAATAATTACTCTATAATGGAAGTTTTGTATATTTGCTTGGATGAGATAAGGATTTTGTTGTTGGTATGCCTGTTGTTGCAGCATGTGGTTGATTGATGGTTGTTAATTTCTTGAGAGCTATCGCAAGCCATGTGGACTTGCGACTAATGTATGATTGTAATAACAACTATGCTATATAACTATATAAGCATATAGAAAGTGCTAGGGGTATTATTTTAGTGTTCAATGATCGTGTTATCTTCAACTTATATAAAAGACTTGTAATCATAATTTTTATAACAGTATTCAAATATGATAACAATAAACAAATATATAGGTATAATTTTATTAATATTTCCATGTCAATGGATTAGAGTGCGAATTGATATTACCAAACATCAATTAGCCCGGTAAAAAATGTTTTAGTCAAAGAATTCAATTTTGAAAAGTTAAGGTTAGTTTATTCAATGACAAAGATATCGGATTATCATTTATCAATACAATGTAGACCGACTTAGATTTTTGATGATTCTATTAGTAGTAAAATAAATTCAGATAAAAGAGAACACAACATAAATAGTTATATAATCATGATAGTTTTGTCGGTTTTCAATCTTATTTTTACTCGAAGATATTGTAAGAACGACGGAGTACTATTATATGCATAACTTTTAGTCTTTTACTATATGTTTAACTTTTTATGTAGCAATGGAGATTCGTATTGATCCCACAAACATTATTCCCTCTAAAAAGGAAATCTAGCAAGAGTTGTGAATATGTTCCGATTTTGGCACAAAGTTTAATTCAAAATTATCATGTATTCATGTTGCTTAGATTTCCTTGGCCGCCCTATATCTAAAGAAAGAGAATCAGTTAAAAAGTAGCAAGAAAAAACTTTCTACTCTTTTGAAGCAATGGTGCATACCTATGAAAGCTCTTGTACATAAACTACTAGGATTATACTTGTGAAAAAGTTCAACTTTACTGAACTTATAATCAAGTCCTAAAGGTTACTCTAGGTCATATATTCCTAACCATATATTGCAAATAAATATAATTCTGATCCCCTCTATATAATTATATGAGCATGCAACGCCTATTTCATAAGACTCAAGTCACTTTGTATTTTTTATGTTGAAGTATTATTTAAGGATATGAATAATTTAAGGATATAAAGAAATATTATGATCGAGTTATAACATCTTCAAATATGAATTAGGTTAGTCTCATCATGTCATTAAAATGTCATTTGTGTCGTTATATAATCACCCGCTTCTTATTTATTTATATCCCCTATAATTAACATTTTTTTTTATCACTTAAAGGAAGTTCCATCAAACCATTTAATAATACAAGCATACAACCACTTGAGTATATCTCATGCTAATTAGTAAATAGTAAGACTATATATATTATTCTCTTTCCCACTGAAAGCACATTAGCATACATATAAATGTAATGTTAGTATGTGATCATAGTTTCATAGATCACAGGTGAAAGCGTATACACATAAAGATAAAACATAAAATTACTCAAATTATCTCAATTTATAATGTTGTGCAAGAAATTAATTACATCCTCTACTTCCAATCATCATCATCATCGTCATCATAACATTCCTTTCACGGAAAAAAGGGTGGCTGGTTGATGGCGAACTTTAGGGTTTTGCCCTAGAGGTAAGGTAACCTCCCAATAAATTCATTAAATCTAAAGAAGAAAGGGAGGCCAACTAGTTGACGTGGATGACAATGTGACATCAGGTGAATATAGAAGTTTGACTCCAATGAGTGATGCATTTCACTAAGCAACACACTAGAAGAGTACTACCTTCTACGGTTGGTTCTACCACAAACACATAAACACAAACACAAAACATAAAACACAAACACAAACACAGTAGCTAGTACAGTACACTAGTATGTACTCCCTTAAATTTAATTAAAGATTTTTGGCGTAGCTTGCACTTTTTCAAATGTTCCTCTAATTTCTAGCAAGAATTTGACGAATTTTTCAATGAAGATTATGTCAGAATATTCTGTCAATTTATTTTGGAAAATTTATTTATTAACAGTTTTTATGTGGATGGTATTATGCATGCATGGCTGTATCAATTAATTTTAGAACACCGACTTTAATTCCCTTTTATGTGCTGTCTATGAGTACGTTATTATATCGACAAGACAAAAACAATGTGGTTTGCCTTCAATTTTATTTTGATGTAGCTTTTATGAATTAATGATGTTTTTGTTTGTGAACTATTGTTTGAAAGCAATACTTTTATACTTTATATGGTGCCAAATGCCAATTGAGGATACTGAGTATATTGGGACACACCAATATATGATCGATCATCAATCGTATCTTCATTCTTATGAGATAATAGACTCTGTGTCATCATATTACGTATTAAGTAGTCAATTAAGCCTCATAAAATTTTAATTAATTCATCTTCTTATTTGTTACAATAGGTTAAGCACTGCAACAAATAACTGTAGTTGATTGAACAAAGCAACACATTTTCCACTCCGGCTTTTGTATGCTTTTTATGAAAATTTTAATTTATTTATATATAAGAGGAGAGAATTATTGTTCTTTGCGACAAATTTGAAAATTGAATCAAATCTCAAATAACCAAAACTAATAGATACGCATGTTAGGATCAAACAAACAATTAACAGCTCATTGCCTAATCAAGGGTTTTATACGAGATTTTTTTTGTCATAATAGTATAAATAAGATTGGATGCAATGCGAAAAAATATTGTTAACCTATGGTCTCTTTCAACTTTGTTGAAAATAAACACCAAGTAAATCAACATCTAGAACATTCAAACAAAGTTTATAGATCTGTCGAAGATATGAACCCAACATCTAACACTCATTTAAGCACAAAGTTACAAGCAAAAGGGAATCAATTTATGCACATGCATCTTAAACAAAGCTAAGGTCGGGTCCTCTTGTCTTGATATGATACATTTGATTCATTTGTTTGATTACATTGCATGTCCTTTCAACATTATGTTATCTTTTCTTTCTTTTTTTTTTCCTTACCAAAATCATATTGCATGGTTCACGAGATAATTGTATATAGGATGATTTCTGCTTTTAAGATGGATATGCATGGATCTTGCATGCTAATGCTAACATATCTTGTTAAACCTTAATAATTATAACAATAATGATATAATAATATGTCAATTTCTATCTATCTAGCTAGTATCTCCTTTTTCACCACTTGGGTTCTTTTGATAAACCATTCTTTTTAACTATCTTTCACACCTTTTCACAAAAGTAGAGGCAGAAAAAAGATTGACTAGTTCTACTTTGTTTTTATTTTAAGATTTTTCTGTTTGTTTTAGATTGGATTTGATTAGGTGAGTTGATCATTAGGAATATTATTAGTTGCAATGGGTTGTACCTTTTTCATTTAAAAATTAATTAAGTACTTCATCAGTCTCATAATCAAAATTTATACAAGGATTTGGGGTGGTTTGATCGGACCTTGGCTCAACACACCCCATCAATCAAAGGTATCCCCTAAGCAAAAGTTGTTGGAAAAAGAGCAAAATATCCCTATAGTAACGAGAAAAACAAAGTATCCCCTATTCTTTTGAACTGATGTGGTCTGCTCTGATCTATTATGCCCTACCTGCTTTGCTCTGCTGCGCTTAATATAAAAATAAGTTGCTCTCCTATGCTTAGGAGATCAAAAGAATAGGGCTTTACTACTAATAGAGTGACGGAAAATATATGAAAACTCATTAATACAATTATGTTATAGTATATATATTTGATTATGAGGTGTTGAGACAATATGAATATTACTCCTTATTTACAAATGATCAAGGAAGCATAATACCGGGATAATTCAAGTGGTAATAGTATTATCCTACCGTTATCTTTCAATTGGGTAGTAATTTGAAAACAAAGCTCCATCTCCTTTCACAGCATGAATATATGATTCGTTTCAAATCAATTCAAGAAGGTAATAAAGTTGAGAACAGTTACTGTCAATTGGTTCGTGAAAAAAAGGACCAGATATAGATAGATAGATAGGAGAGTATCTAAATCATTGGAGACAACAAGTGTATGTCCGTAGTTTTGGAAGCAAAACAACGAACCGCCCACTTTCTTGGATATGCCACAAGATGCTCTATTATATTAACAGTGAGCTCACTTCCTATTAGAGTAACTAGAGAGGAGGTATTTATTCTACAAATTACCAAGTGCTTACATTACTCAATTTTTTATCATAAAAATATACAATACATTATCACATCGGGTCTTATTAAATATGCTTTGTATAATATGTTGATTTTAATTATCATGGCGTGACAAAAGTGTTAATCTTAATGTTAAATAAAAAAAGTGATTAAAAGAGAGTGTCTGTAACCCTTAAGTTTTATAACTCTCAAATTGTGATACATGCACTAGTTATATACACTTCAAGCTCAAGTATTTTCTATTGTTACACGTCACATGGCACTCTACCCTAGTAATGATGCTCACTCTAAATAAGCTCCTTATTACATTAAAAAGAAACAATTTTAGACCTCTTTCTTTTAAACAAAATATATACACATGTGAATTTATACTTAAGTTTACATTATTGACCTTTAATGGAATGAAAAAATTAAATATTTTTATAGGACCATATTTGAGTTACAACAATTGAATTACGTACTATATTAAGCGATTGAATTGAATGTTAAAAAAAGGTGTTATCTTCTACATTCGCATACACTATCCACCTTAGAGTTTTTTTCTAGCTCTTACAATTATTGCTAATTTAATTATTATATTGAGCAAAAAAATAAACTTGAATACGCCAGTACCGTATACAAATTTTCAATTTTTTTTTTTGGTTGATAAGGAGAATTCCATAGCAAGTAGAGGGGATATTGAGAATCTTACTTGTTTGGGGCCAGAATCAAACCCCTCTCACATGAGGTGAAAGGAGAGCCTCCAACCAACTAGGCTAACCTTGATTCTCACGAATTTTCATTGTTTGGCGACACAATTTCTAACAAAACTTGATGTGTACAAATTATCAAGTATCTATTCCAAAGGCCCAGTCATTTGAAAGGAAATTGGGCTGATCCAACCCAATTCAATTTCCAAACATTTTCCCCTCACATTCTTACCTCCCCACCAAAATACCCAAACCAACAAAAAAAACAACGGCCAAATTTCCGTGAAGGGCAATGGTTGACGTTACCGGCGGTCAAACTTTGGAAGAACCAATCAAAATGCAGCGTCATCTTCATCCATCACCTTCACCTTCACCTTCACCTTCATCTTCATCTTCACTTTCTCTCTCCTCAAAATTCCTCGCAATTTCTCTCTCATGGCAGCTCCCAAGCAATCAGGCGGCAGAGACGACTGCTGGAGCGAAGAATCCACGGCGGTGTTGATCGAAGCTTGGGGAGAACGCTACCTCCGCAGCAACCGCGGAAATCTCCGGCAAAACGATTGGAATGAAGTCGCCGACGCCGTCAATTCCGCCGGAATTACTCGCCGGAAAACCGACGTTCAGTGTAAGAATCGTATCGATACGATCAAGAAGAAGTATAAGGTTGAGAAAGTCAAATCTCCGCCGTCCACTTGGCGGTTTTTCGAACGCCTTGATTTTCTGATCGGTAATGTTACCTCCTCCGCTGTTCAGGTTTCTGTTGCCGAAAATGCTAGCCCTAATCCTAACCCTAACCCTAACCCTAACCATAACCATAATCGTAGCCCTAATTTGAAGTCGAGTTTGAATTCGAGCGAGTCGACTCAGTCGGATGAAGATGGAGAGGCGGTGGAAATGGTGGAGGAGAGAGAAATAGAGACGGCGGTGAAGGAGTTGGCGAGAGCGGTGGTGAAGTTTGGGGAGGTTTACGAGAGAATTGAGAATTGGAAGCAGGAGAAATTTATGGAATTGGAGAAGCAGAAAATGGAATTGGCTAAGGAATTGGAGCTTCAGAGGATGAATATGTTTGTAGATGCTCAAATTCAGCTCGAAAGATTAAAGCGTTCTAACAAGAGATCTGCTTCAACAGGTGAGAATTTCTGTTAATTTTATTTATTTGTTAGTTTGAATTTTGTGTTTTTTAATTAATGCTATAATGTGCTTGAATTTTGGTTAAAGCTTTAGATTTTGTTGATTGATAATTTGATATGGTGTTTGGCTTTCTAAATTTGTTATTGAATTTCTCTTATTGGAACTCCGTAATTGTGAATTGAACATTAGTGTACCCCTTTTAAGACCCGAACTTTACTTGTTTGAACTTATTAGCGCGAATTTAACTTAATTGTAACTTGTCATTCCTGAAATAAGTGGAATCGAGGTGTGAGGTGAACAAAGCCTCAGTTATAGTAGGATCAACCGATCAAGTGTACGTCAATTCGTTTGGAGTGACAAAACTTTGTTTAGAAAGGAATGAAGAGATTTGGCCTCCGGATTTGATTGTTAATATAATGCATGGATAGGAATGAGAAGGAATCGTGGATTTGGTGAGGAATAAACCAGAAACTTTATAGGAACATGTAGCTGATCATGAGGATAAAAAGAATGTTTCAATTGCTTAACTTTTTTGTGGCACGTTTTATATGTGTGCTGGTTCTTTATAATCTCGTGGTTGTATGTTAGAGGCTGATTGCAGACATGTAGTAATTATGCTCACATTGGTATGGTCGAGAATTATGACAAGCGAACAATGTAATGGTGCTAATTTTACTCCAAAAATCACAAATTGCCTCATATATGTAATTATTAAATATTTAAAAAAAAAAACTCCCCTACAAGTATTGTGATTTTTCAAAACATCCCTGAGATATGCATCTTGCCATTTTGGCATTTCATCATTAATTATGTTTCCAAATAAGTTATATCCCATTGTTAGGTTGATTGATTTTAAGCTGGAAAGGTGGCAACCGGGAAAATTAGGGAGTTTGATACATTATTAGACCTACTGGGTACGGGAAAGGAATAGTTGGCAACTTGGCATGATAAATCTTGAGTTTCACCAATCTTCTTTAGTTAAAAAAATCCACCTTTATTGCTTTATAAGGTTAATATTACAATCGGATGAAGTCTGTTATTCACTCCCAAAAAGTTATTGTTCGCACCATTTGGTTTTTGAAACAGGACTCAGATGCATATTTATGTTAGATGGTGTTTGCAGGATTAGTAAAGTAGATCAATGCTGAATGAACATGCAGAACATCAATGCTCTCTTGTATACTATTGCCTCTGTCATAGAATGTTATCTCTCGCATATCTTTCTTTATATTTGTTTCTTATATAATGCCTTTTGCCTACATTAATTTTTGTTACTTGAGTGAGGAAATCTGTTGCGTTTTCATACAATTGTAGACTAGTTCTTTGGCTACTTGAATCTGCATAGCTAGTGAAAGTGAAGTTCTTATTCTTTAGGTTTGGATTAATAGTGTATTAACTCATAAAAGGCCTTTTGCATTATCATCTGCTTATCTATTTTTGAAGTAGAATGAGGTGCTTACATGTCAGATTGTCAAATCAGGGAACTAAAAGGGTTACATTCCTTATATAATAGCAGGTTTTAGGCTGTGTACATCAGATTATGTGATCCCTATATACTGTGCTAGCTGATTGACTCTTATAGTCTTGTAGATGAGATTAGCTAGTTTTGTTGATGTGACTAGCTATTTCACTGAGAATCCAGTAGTCTATGGCCTCTATGCTAAATTTGCTGACTTTTTAAAGACCTCTGGCACAGTGTTGTGAAAACTAATCCAATCGCATATGGATTTGCATTCTTCTGTGTGCCTTAAAGTAAATTCGTTTTCTTTCAACCGAACTCATTTTTCCCCCTGTACCAATGGAGGAATGAACCAGTCAGAAGAGCCATCACGGCCCATCAGTGTTTGTATGTGCTTTTAACTATATTTGTATTTGTTTTGGCTGACACCTGTAAGAACATGCAGAACATCAATGCTCTCTTGTATACTTCATAGTTGAATGCTGATGGGATGAGCAAATCTTGACCGATAGGCTACCGTACTTGCTTAGATCTTTATGTGACAAAGACCACACCAATTTTGTGACGTGGAAAGCATGCTTGCTTAATTGATTAGTTTCAAGGAGTTTTTTTTTTTCTTTTTTTTTTTCTTCTGCCATCAGTTTTTTGTGTGTTGAAGCTTTAGTCTTCATTTAGGCCAAGCATAGTTGCTAGGGTTAGTCATTAGTGATTTCTTGTCCATTGACATTTTGGGGCTGTGTATGTCCTGTGGCTGCTGCATGCTATTGTGGTGACATTCGGCAGCTGTTGAATGGGTTTTATAAGCACTTCTGCAATTAATTCAGTAATGTTGAATATTTTGTCTTTCTAGATGCTTGCCATAGCTCCGTGAACTTTTGACTTTCTATTTAGGGCTATTTGTAATGTATAACTGGAAAGCTGAGAAGAGGGTAGTAATGTACTTTGTCACATAATTTCTGAGTACTTAACTTAGCCATGTCTGATACAACGTGGTTTTGAAACAGGCAAGAAATTATAGCAGAGATCATACTTCATTTTCTGGACTGAAGATGAAGGACTCATTCCTTGCGCAAGTTGTTTTTAGGAGTATCACCTTGTTACTTCTGTGTGATGCTTTGTACATGGCATTGGAAGGGTGGAAGTTCTGTGGAAATTGGTTCAGAAGATTGCGCTCTGTTCCCAGGTATTATTGATTGTAAGTGTTTTGAGTGACACCATCTTTTAATTAGAGCATGTAATATAAATTATTTGTTGTGATATTTATTGTTCGTTATATTCATTGTGTACTAATCAGTTAAAAATGGAGCTGTAGAGATTCTATTGAGTTATGAATTTATGATGATCAGAAAGAACTTTAGAAGTAGTAATTGCTATAATATTCTGCATCTCACTGATCGCCCGTTTCTAAACCTGTATTGCTATGTAATGATTGTATACAAATTTAATTACCTTGTAAACCTTTGGATGTGGGTTTGAAACCATTTATGTGCTTGGTTCGAAGGGAAGGAATAAAACCTATCACTCAGCATGTTATGGGGCAGCGTGAGAATGTAAGAGACTGTACTACTGTGAGTTATTTTGTACTTAACAAGAGAATTAGGGAGACAAAAGATGTTTTTCTTGGCTTCCACATCTAACCCACAAAATGCAGGTTCGATTCACACCAGGGGATGGGGCAGCCTTATGTTGTACTTCGTATGTCTTTGAATGCATTCCCTGTTTTCTTGGTTTCCATGACTTCTTTGAAGTCTGTAAACTGTTTCAGCTTATTATTGGATCACTAAATTTTGATAATCGGTAGGTGTTACTCAGTACATGGAAAAAAAAAATCAGAAAGCTAGAGTAAATGAATGTCTGAAAATTAAAACTTGCTTTCTTGGGAGTCAGTCTGCTCACTACTGTCCTGTGTGCATATGTATTGCTTTAACAAGTGGTGGAGCCTATCTAAAGGGGGAGGCATCTTCTATCAGTAAGCTATAGCTAGAAAAGGGCTGAAGGGGTTCCCCCACCCTCTCCCTCTTCTCTTCTCTTCCTGTCTTGTCGAGCAGGGCGCAAGTTGTTGTATGCCATTCCCCCACCCTCACTCAGTCACTCTCACCCCTCTTCTCTTCGTGTCTTGTCGAGAAGGCTGCAAGTTGCTGTCTGCCCTCGACTCTCTTAGCCTGTTGGGTCTAAAGTGAATTTGATAGTGTAGCTATCCAGTCTCACAGGGGAACTTTAGACATGACACATCCTGTACAAAAACAAATTTCAGTCTCATGACGACTCTTTGCGTGTTATAATCTATAGGTTGGAAACTTCCCAGCTCATGTAAAGAGTACGCAAATCCTTTTTCATAGCAGAAACAGAATTATTGCAACAACTTGTTGAATGAAATGCTTTGAAGTTGCTAGGGCCTAGGAGGGTCACAAAGCTCACCGACCAAGGGCAATAATGGGAAGGTTATAGATTGAATGGGGTAGGGTGGCGGAAGAGGTGGGGAGGTAGAGGTGATTGGTTGATTGATACATTTGCATGAGCTGAGCTAAGCTCGGCTTAAGAAGTTCGTAACATGCTTGATATATTTTCAACTTTCTTAGCGCTACACAAAATTTAACTTGTGATCAAAAGTTCAGGAAGTGTTATACTCGTACTGGATTGAAATGTATGATAATGTTTTTTATTTTTTATTTTTTTTATCACGAGATCCTCTTCTTTTGATCAAAAAATTGGAGAAGTCAAGTAGCTTGTTGGAGTAATTTGAGATGCATATATAACGATCATAATGGATTCCTATTGTCAATATTGACAATTTGGAGTAAATGTTACAGAGAGAATATAATATACTGTTATACTGGTAAATCGTTTGCATATACAGATTCTCAATCTCAAACTAAAGAAGGGAAGTCATTTTAAGTCTTCGGTAACTTTAAAAAGTCGTTTTAATTAGACCTGTGCTTTATTCGATTAACATTTAACATCTGGCTATTTATCGTTCATGTTCTCTCACCCCCACAAGATGTAACTCATATTTGTCAGATCAATTTAAGGGTCAACAATATGTTTTAGACGAAAACTGAGAAAAGACTAATACTAATAGTAATCGGATAATCATCCTTATTTTATGACCCTACTACTACCCTTAGAATACTCCTTGGATACCAACATAAACTCTTTGATAAAGTTGCGACTATGGCTCCACAAGACATTAACATCTTATATACAATCAATTTAATGTCAAATCAGATTCAACATTTTTCTTATTTTGTACAATTCGTTTATGTATTAAAGCAAAAACGCTTAACTTCAATTAAGTTTGTATCCTAAAATCAATTGACAATAAAGTCTCTCAAAATTCACAACATTCTTAGGTAGATAACTTCAATTTTTTACATACAAGTATGATATCGCCATATTATACTCCTTCCATCTATATTTATCTGTCAAGTTAGTTCGGTAGTATTGATCTATCAACGTAATGACGTGTCTACCTGAGTAAACACCCCCCCCCCCAAATCTTCCCTCATTGCTCTCTCTTGTGGCTTCTGCCTTTCAAGATCAAGGTAACAGGATAACGTCGATTGTCAACGAAACTGATATTCTAGTCAGTCATCTTCCTTTGGATTTGCATTCGCACATGCAAAAAAGCAGATCAATAAGTTTAACAGTAAAACATTGCTACTACAACTAGTATTCTTTTGATCAAACTCATGATTTGTGCTAGGATTTTATTTTCTCAAGAAAGTAGAAAAAGAAGAAATTTTGGTTAACTTCTTTTTTATTGCGGAAAAGAGTGTGCCAAACACACAAATGTCGCATCAAATTAGAAATGCGCAACCAGTACAATATTTGTGGTGTACCAAATGCAATGGTTAAGCTGCATTTTCAGGGATACATCATAATTTAATGCCTTGTCCACTACTCACCCTTTATTATTCCACTTCTCTCTCTTTGGATATTTTTTGCTTAGCCATCTCTACTCTCTAGTGTCATATTCTCCAGGTGATCTTAAACCTTAATCAGGGTTACACGTATCTCGGTTTCGCCTTAAGGGCTAATTTATGCAGTTTTTGGATATGAAAGGACATTTTTGGTACGGCCAAAGAAGAAAGAAGCCGATTAGCTTAGTGAAAGATATAAGTTTACTTTCTTGAGATTGATTATTTATATACTATCTCCGATATTTTTTAATTGCAACTTTGGGGTATTATTTGAGATATATAAAATATTCCAAGGTTGCAAATGAAAAAAATCGGAGGTACAATTATATTTTAAGGCCTGAAATAACCATGGAAGGGATGGAACAAGTTAAATAGGACATATTTAAGTTAAGTCTAAAATAGACCTTTGAAAGATTGATAAATATATAGATTTACATTTAATTACATGAATGATCACAAAGGAAGAAGATCAGGAACTTGACCAAAGTCAGTAGAATTATAAGCTCCACTGTCATTTTGGCTGAACTGGTCTGAACTTATTAAACCTTCGCTACATAAATTCATATGAATTATACTAACATTATGATCGCCCAAACCAAAGAAACCGTTATCAGTATTACTACTAGCAGTAACATTATTAGCCTTGTACTGAGCTAATCGAGCACGGGCGAGGGCAAGATCATGCTGGAGCTGGATCATCCTTCTTTGCAAGAGCGCAATAGCACCAATACACCCATAGACCGGATCACGAAGGCGAGCCTCGGCCTCGTATGATAAAGAGTTGACAGTATCCTCACGGTGCTCCTCAGGGACTTCATTAAGGATCTTACTCACATTACTGGCTCCAAACACTTTATGGACTTTGGCAAACTTCTTAGGCTCGTCGGCTCGAAAGTGTGGGGCGAATATGCAGCTAGGGCTGCACCGTCGCTTGAGTAGCTTGCAGGCCGCGCAAGATGAGCTTGACCTGGGCTCGGTGTAGCCCTTCTTCATGGTTGGTTTTGGTTCTTCATTCAAAAGAAAAGAGATAAAGTAATTGATTAAGTAAAAGTACACAACATCACATACACTTCTTGTGTGTGTTGTGTTGTGTTTTATGAATAGGCTTATCCTTGATATAGTAGTGGCCTATTTATATGTCAATATGTGGTTGATACATTGGGGGGGCTCTCTTGATGCATATACTCTCTTCCTAAACTTTGAGAGCCAAAAACCATTTTGTGGGCCTCCCAATACTACTATTATTTGATACAAATCATACTGTCTTCCTTGGAGTTTATATTGAAAGAACCATGGTTATTTTGTTTCATTTCGATTTTTATGTTTGTTAATGCACAATATAGTTATATAAAGTTGATATTTTGAAATGTTTTACCGAAACTCTAATATATTACGGAGTAGTTTAAAAAATGACAAAACGTATGTAAATAATGTAAAAATTAAGTTTGAACCATTACAAAAGATGAAGTGATCTGAAGGAGGATATGTACAAAAAAAAAAAAAAAAACTTGGCAGAAATAAAACCAGTATCTCCATAGAGAAAATCAGAAAATGCAACACAACATGAATATAATAAATAAGGTGATATGAATACAAGTGAAAATCAAGTGAAAAGAATAAGGTCTCATAACTACTTAAACGGTTGAACCATACAAGTACAAATGTACATTATTAATCTATAAATTACACATTTTGCTCATGATATATAATAACCCAAAGTTTCGAGTAATTTGGACCGGAGGTGATATTTTTTTTAACCAAAAAATATATAAAAAAAAAGCTACTGTATAATTAAGTGACTTAGTAAGCCAAATACATCATTATACTTGTAATTGATAAGAATTCACTTTTTATAAATCTATCTTCAGATGATTTTGTCTTGAGTTTGGTACGTTGGGATTGGATAAAGCTGAGTTAACTGGGTACACATACACCTGTCGGGTATATGTGAAGGAACAGATTAGACTATTAAACAATATAATATGATAAAGCTTTAACTTATAAACAAACAGGCCCATTAGCTCAGTTGGTTAGAGCGTGGTGCTAATAACGCCAAGGTCGCAGGTTCGACCCCTGCATGGGCCATTAGGTTTTTTAACTTTCTATTTTTTTCCATCATTTTTAGCACTAGCTAGTAAAATATAAATAGAAAATTTTACTAGGTTTTTGTAACTTTTATATTTTTTTCATCATTTTTAGCACTAGCTAGTAAAATATAAATAGAAAATTTTGCTAAAAATGGACCAGCTATTATTTAAGTGGAAGGAAAGCTAATGTAGGACATAATGACATACTATATAGGACATGAGGATGTACATTAATTTTTTATTTTTTGGAAAAAAAACCTCTTATTTATTTTCAATGTAGAAAATAGTAAAATGACAAGATAGTTCACCAAGAAAGGACGATAATAAAACACATACACACTCATTTGATTTGAAGAAAGGAAGTGACATTACCTGAAAAGGGAATCATTTCTTTGGTCTATTTGCTTTGATTTGAAAACCTTTCATTATGAATGTATGTAAAAATAAAAAGCAAAGGTCTTTAGTTACCTAGCTTAGGGTTTTAGGTACTTACGAGCCCCTACTTTAGCTTAATTTGATTTATAGTAATCCAATATTGATTACGCTTGTCGGACATAACCAAAAGAAAATAAGAACATAAGGTTGATGAGCTTTCATTAATTAGCTTTACGTTTGATGAAAAAGTATTGCAACTAATATTATTAAGCAAAAAATAAAGGTAATTCAATGTGAAATGTAGTATGCTCTAGAAAAAAAAGTAGTTCTTTCTTATTTTACAATTAGCGACTCAAAAAAATTATGGATATGTTATACCATTATTAAATCTATATCTCGATGGGTGCTTTAAATTTCACAAAGCATGGGTGCATTTTAAGTAAACATTGATGTCAAATTAACTAAAGATTTTGGATTAGTAACTATGTATAATTTTACCTACAACAAGAAATATGATAAACTTTAATTTTCGTTCGTCTTACTCCTTCCCTTTCTAAATTACTAATGTTTGATTGCCTCTAATATCATGATATTTGAACACTCGATCAACATTATAAGCGTGAAAGATTTTCTACAAATTTATTGGTGAGCTGAAGAGCTCCCTAATGATGGATGGATTGGAAACCACATTATGTGGTGGAAATTAGAGGCAAGTAGTGATGGCAACTTCTTTTGCGGTGAATTGTGCTTGTTTTTTCTTAGAAAAGTTCCAAAGGAGATTTCTTGCTCACTTTTTACACCCCCAAAACCCTTTATAATTGTGGGAGTACTCGGTTCCTTTTTTAGAAGTCCTCTTTTTTTTTTTTTTGGGAGTCGGATACTAAAATAATAGGGAGATGGAATTGATCCTAAGTTTTGAATACTAGCTGCTAGTACTTTAGCCAAAAAAAAAAAAAAAAAAAGCTAACATCCACAACAGTTTGCAATTAGTTGAGAAAATATTTCAGCCTCTAAGATATTAATGGGTATGTTTATGTCAATAATATGACTTAGGTCTATTGAGAAATAATGAATAAAAAGTAATACTATCTTTGCATTTTGCTCATCTATTATTCTTAATTATAATCAATGTGAGTACTCAATCAATGTAGATTACAAGAGTGTTTTCTTTGTACTTTTTTTTTTTTGAAAACGTGTTTTCTTTGTACTTAATATACTCTGTATACTTGTTAAAGTAGTACTCTATAATATTGACTAGAAGACATTTTCTTTAACTAAATCTAAAACAAAAATATTTACAATTATTAAGTACATAAAAAAAAAAAGTCAAATTCATCTACATAAATTATAATATATGAAAACTATATTATAATACTCAATATTTAACATATGGACGTGGACATTGCCCAAATTAAACACTACTGTAGTAGTTTATAAATATGAGAAACATCATGAGTTCATGACAGAAAATTGGTGAATTAATAGTGGACGAATTGGACAAATGAAGACAAAATCAAGAGGAGATCCTTTGATGATAGAGCCCATTTTTCAAATAATTTTGCAGCCTGGCCCATATGACTAGGGGTTTGATCTGGCCCAATATAATCGGTTGCCCAGTCCAATCCTGCTTAGCTAGTTAACATTAAGGTTTTTTTTTTATTTATTTTTTTTTTATTTTTTTTTATAAGAAATACTTGTTTATTTTTACCTCTATTTTTTTTTATTCACAAGGAATGAAAATTATTTGTGATATATAAAAAAAAAATTCTCATCATATAAGTGATATAACCTTGTAAAGTTGTAGTTGGTAAAATTAATTAATGAGATTATTATCAAGCCTTTTTCAAATACAGAATATTGACAAATATTTTAAACAAATAATATCTATTTAAGGCGTGCAACGCACGAGATTAAACTAGTAACCTTGTAAAAGTTGTAGTTGGTAAAAAAAAAAAAGCCACAGTAAATAGAAAACCAATGTTATAATGTTATGACTTATGAGTTGCAAACTTGAAATAGATGATAGAAAACTCCTTGCATCACAATCGACCCCTAATATACTAACACACATCTTAAATTCCTAATTCCTAAGGATAAATATATTATTTTAAAAATTAGAATTATGACAAATGAATGATTAGAACGAATATTGAAAGAAATTGCCAAATTCTTACAACTTTGATACAATACACCATAATAAAGTTATTTCAAATTTACATAGAAACAATTGTCTCGATTGTTAATTTCATTTTTCTTAAAAAAAGAAAGTTAAACTTGAATATGCATACACTTACATAATCAGAACACCACCGAGTATTACACTTTTTTTTGAGGAAAACTAAGTATTACACTTTGTATAGTTGACTTAGTTGTATTTATGTGATGGTATATATGCTACTTCAGCCACCACAACCATCACATCCGCCGCAACCACCACCACCACAACCCCCATCATCACCACCATCCCCACCACCGCCGCAACCGCCACCACCACTGCTACCAAAGTTGCCATTACTTGATGTGCTGGCTACAACAGCAGCAGGAGCCAAAACACGGCCACCATCTCCTGCTAAAATGACCATATTACCATTGTTTACACTTCTACTAATTCCTTTTCCTCCGCCAATCTCAACATCACCATTTGCAGCAGTAACGGATCTCTGCGACGGTAAGTTTTTGACCTCCTTTTTCTTTCCGCATCTTATTATCAAAATCAAAAGCAGGATTACAGCAATAAGGCAGCCTATTACTATCAGCACTATAACATATGCTTTCATCGTCCTTTTCAAATAATCAAATTATATGTTGTATGACTTGTTAATTTGTTATTAATGTTATACTTTTCCCGTCCAAAAAAAAAAAGTCAAGTCATAGCTTAACATGCACGAAATGATCAATTAATCGGAATGTTCTTGTATCATTATTCAATATAGTATAGATTAATGAATTATTCATGCAATTGGGCTATGACTTTGGATTTATGGTATAAATAAACTATAGAGTTAACATTTTTGTTGATGTTATAAAATATTTACTTGACTAATTCTGTATGAACAAGACCATAACTACATGAGTACATCCCATTTTTTTTTTTCCCACCAAATATATCCTACATATTGTCAAACTTAGCCCGAATATCCACTTAAATAGTAAGAGTGAGGATAGCTCAAGTGATAAGAGCTTTCTTCCGATCCTAAAGATCATAGGATAGAATACAAAATAGAATTGAATGGCTTGATTATTATTCATCAAGTTGAATATTTATACAAAACTTAAGATCATACGATAGGAAACAATCTTCCTAAGAGATATACTAACATAACCATAAACCCTAAAAATATATTCTCTTAATAATATCTTAACATAAAATAAACCTTTTATTTTTAGGAAAACATAAAATAAACCTAAATATATTATTCCTTTAATAATATCTATGAAAAATATATATATATCACACATATATTTTCCGATATCACATATCTCTAACACCGTCTAAACACCCAAAAACAAAAAAAAAATATCCACTTAAATGATTTGAACAGTACTATTAAAGCATTTTGTACACTTGTATTCGCTGCCACTTCAGCCGCCACAACCGCCCCCGCACCCTCCACCACATCCTCCACCATCACCGCCGCAGCCAAAACATCCAAAATCATTGTTTTGGGTAACAATATTAGTACCTATATTGGCTATAGCCTCAACAACAGCACCATCTCCTGCTAAAATGACCATATCACCATCTTTTACACTATTTGTTCTTTTTCCTTTGCCAATTTCGACATCACCATTTGCTGAGCCTGAAGCAGTACTTTCCTGCGAAGTATTGGAGATTTTTCGTTCCCTTTTTTCACATCTTATTCTCAGAAACATGTACAGGATTAGAGCAACAAGGCAGCCTAAAACTATGAGCACTATAAAATATGCTTTCATCTTTTAACTGGATGCAATTGTATTAATATGATCATTAAAAATGTTAATATTTGTAATTGTAACAAGGAAAAGATAAAGGAAAGCAGATAGTGAAGGTTTAATTTAAGGTTGTGGACTTAAAGTAGTTTAAGGTTCGAGTTAGATGGAGTCTTTAAGCGAAGAGGACTTGGTCAATGTTTGGTTAGATTTTGTCTAGTTAGAATGGACAACTTTGATCTATTCGGTGTTGACTTTGGGGTACTAGCTAGAATTTATGCATCTAGATACATGGCACAATTAAGCGGCCTTAATGTTGAAAGGAACTCCACATTAATGGATTGTAGGCATGTTGTAAGTAAAAAGGAGGTATTTGCATTTGTGAAGAGGTGATTGATCTGAGAAGACACACAACCGTGTGAGTGTGAGTGTGAGTGTGTGTGTGAGGGCTAGCAAAATTGAACTCCAGCTAACAAGTGAGAGCGACTATGAAAACATCTCAATTGCGTGTAGCAGGAGCGTTAAGTTGTAATAGAGAAGGACGAAGTGCTGAGAGAGTGAGAGACAAATACAATATTAGTGTAACTACATATAAATGCATGGAAGCATACTCCATTAATGTGAGGCTTTTTAAAAAGATGCCAAAATAAAAATTTGTGCGAGTTGGACCAATTCAAAGCAATAATGCGGAGTATAAAATTTGTTAAAGTTACAAATAATACAAAATGGAGATAGTATTAAGGCCCGGTTAAATATGGTCTTCTAGATATTAATGGGTATAAAGGCTCAATTTTATTTTATTTTTTGAAAAGCATAAAGGCCCAGTTAAACATGTATATAAAGACGTTTATTATGAGGTATGAGTTATATATCAATGCGTTATCTGCAAGTGATCAAATTATTTTTCCTTAGCGGACTTAGGATATTTAGGCATTGTTCACTTAACCTTATATTTGTTGAGTTGAAATTATTTTTAGTGCTTCTCTATTATATTTCTTTACATTATTAAAATTAAAATTATTATTGTTGTTATTATTAGTTATTATTATTATTATTATAAATAAATGAATATAGGAAGAAATCAACACAATTTTACAACTCTACCATATGCTTCCTTTAATTTGTTTTTTTAGTTGACACCTTTCTATATCACGCTTGTCAACGTATGTTTTTAACGATTAATATCTCTAATTATCAACATTTTAAAATTATAAAATGTAGATTTTGATAAAATATACATTGAAACGATTCAAACAAGATCTCACATGCATGTGTTTTATCGTATTTATAAACCACAAAAGCGAGTCAAAACGTGTTATGTGTAAACGGAGTAAGTAATTAAAAAGAAAATTTCACCAAAAATATATACATGTTGTCAAACTTGGATATCCACTTACACGACTTGAACACAATTAAAACATACATTTTGTACACTTGTATTCGCTGCAACTTCAGCCACCACAACCGCCACAGCCACCGCATCCGCCACCACCATCACCACCACCATCACCGCCACAACCACAACAGCAACAATCGTCGTCTTCAGTTCCAATATTACTATCAGCAGGAGCCATAGAACGACCACCATCTCCTGCTAAAATGACCATATCACCATCTTTTACACCTCTACTATTTGTTCCTCTCCCAATTTCGACATCACCATTTGCAGCAGCAATATTTCTTCGCGAAGCAGAAATTTTCCGTTTCCTTGTCTTTACACATAATATTATTATTAGAAGCAAATATAGGAATAGAGGAAGTAAGCTGCATAATACTATCAGCACTACTGTAGCATATGTTTTCATCTTTCAAATTTTATATTGGATGCAATTCTTCTAATTTGATCATTACACCTTTTATATATGATTATTTGTTTAAACGGTGTAGTATAATTTGTGTTGGAAAAAATAATGTTACTCTTTCTTATACTTTAAGGGCAGGACTATAGAAAACCAAGTCAAGTCATATTAAATGTTATTTTATCATTCTACGGTATAAAAATTATTGCTTGAATACTTCATGCAATTGGGCTATGACTTTGGATAATTGATATAAACTATAGAGTTAAGATTTTTTTGTTGATATGAAATTAAGAAATTATCTACTTGACTAATTCTGAAGAAGCAAAAAAAAAAAAAAAAAAAACTCCTTTTGTATATGAGAATAGTCTATTTCTGAATTGGTAATTTTATTATTGTATTTAAATTTTGAGATTTCCTAAGAGTTAAATCAACAGCTAAATAATAGATGTACTTGTTCAATTGGAGAAAAGTAACATTAGAAACAATCAATATTTTGCCAAAGCCTTTGATTAGATTACAAACATTGTATTGCAGGAATTTGAGTGACAGATTGACACTCTTGCATTACTTAACATAATACAAGTACATTTTAAGCCTAACAAGCTCGAATTTGAGGGAACGTGATAGTATAAAATAAGCCTAATAACAATAAAAAATAAGTATATGTATTATAGAGTATATAAGGAAATCATTTATTTTTGTAATGAGTTGGTAATAAGTTGTGATCGATGTTACTAATGTATACCATATCTAGTCCTAAACCTTAGGTATCACTTAATAACTTAATCAAATAAACTACGATTTACTACAAAATTAGTTGGCAGTCTTGGCACTACTATAAACTGATGAACTAAACGTCTAAACACTACCATGCCACCCTACTTTAGCAGCCACCACCAAAACCGCCACCACCACATCCTCCACCTCCACAACCGCCACCGCCACCGCCACAACCACCACCTCCACATCCGCCACCACCACATCCAGCTTGAGAAGCGGATATAATAGCACTAGCAGCTAGAACATCAGTAGCTGCACCCAAAATAGCCATGTTGCCGTCTCTTACACCTTTACTTGTTGGTGTCGCTGTTGGTCTACCAACACCAACATCGCTCGATTTCGATGTTTGCTGTTGTTTCTTTCTTCCCATACAGCAGCAGCAAAGACATAACAACAAGAGTACGCCAAAAAGAATGCAGGCAGATACTATCAACGCCACAATGTGGTCTTTTTTCAATTCCATATTTTACAAATTTGTAGAAGTTTATTATTTGTATAAAGTCACTGATGATTATTGTATGTTACTTGACCTGAAAACCAACGAGAAAGAAAATTTTTATATTATACATGTATTACGTAGCTGTTTTAAATGATATGTACAAATTTGACTACTCTTTCAACAAACACATCTCCTACGAAATTCTTTAAAAACGTACATCTATAGGTACACATACATGAAAAAAAATATGGATAGTATAACCGGTTGTATATAGAAAATTGTTTATATACCAACGAAAAACTCATTATTATTATTATTATTATTATTATTATTATTATTAGAGGTTAACATATACTTTGGAAATATGATTTGTAACGAATATAATAACATCTCACAAGACATATAATTTGGAGAACAATAAAATTGAGATCAGAGTAGTTACTATAGGACGAAGAAGATATCATGCAAGAATTCAACCCTAAAATTATGGAGTAAAATTAAAAGGAAAATAAAAGGAGAGAAAAATTAATTAATTAAGATACCTAAAGTAGACCGGTCGCCGTGAAGCAAGGGCAAGACGCCTACGACAGTTCCGTGAGGAAGAGATAATTGATAGCAAAATTAAAGCAAGTGAGGGGAGATCCGATCCCAGCAGATAATAAAGAGGAATTTTTGTATGGCTAGGGTTTTAATTAAGGGATAAATTTATCTCTATAGATTTAATTTTATACGGATTAATTAAGATCATATATTCCTATCCCGCAAAAAATACTTGTATACTATATATTTCTTAGGTCCAATTAGGTGTACATTTGCAGTATACCCTTCCCTCCCCCTTCAACTTTAAATAGTTCTAGGACTCTAGCCCATTAACTATCAAGCTAAGCTTGGTTTAGTGGTAAGAATTGTACCTTCCAACCTTGAGGTTGGAGGTTTAATTCCCACTAGTGGCACTTTGAGAGTGGGAAATCCATTTCCCTTCCCACCTCACTTTCAAAGTGTGTTACTCGCAAATACCGAACCAAAAAAACCTTGAGGGTTGAAATTCGGTTAGCTTATTATTAACCTTTGCATGATTTATACTCCCTCCGTTTTTAAATATTTGCTCCACTTTCCTTTTATGGCCGTTTTTAAATACTTGCTTCATTTCCTTATTTGGAAAGCTTTTACAATATTTAATTAATTTCTCTCACCAAATGGACCAACAATATTAATTACATATTCTCTCTCCTTCAATTCTCTCCACTACTTTTGGGTTTTTACAATTTTTTATTCCCACTAACCCACTACCTCTATATTTTATTACTTTCTACAATTTCTCCTAAAATTCCGCGCATGGAGAAATTGAGCAAGTATTTAAAAACGGAGGGAGTACAAAGATTAATCAATTATTTATCAAATACAAATATGTTTCAATGGCTACCATAAAATAATTGTAACTATACTATCCGTCTCTAAATGTTTGCACGGATTAACTTTTCATGACATCCAAAACACTTTTTAAATGTACTTTCTCTGTTTTTTTTATCTTAAAATTTATTATTTATGTGACTGAAATTATTTTTACTTAATTTTTTTTAAGGTGAAGTGAACATGACCTTATACGGTAAGACTTTAACCTTGTCAGAAGCTGCAATTTGTAGGAGTATTTTCATAACGTCCAATTTTCATACATTTTATTACAATAGTAATTCAAAATTATCGATATAAAAAAAAATTCTTTAATTCCATTTCAATCCCATTTAAAAAAATATTAATTATATATATGACACGGGTAGGGGTGTGCAAAAAAGAACTGAGATCGGACATCGGACCGGGATTAGACCATTGGATTCTGGGTCGGCCTTCGATCCTCATATTTTGTTGATTCTGTGTTTTCGGTCCGGTCCAGGTAATAACTTGTAATTTATAAATTCTAGGTGCAAAAAAAAAGACACGCAAACAAAAACAAGACGTTAAAAAATGATGTATATACAAAAATATTAAAATGGGAAAAAAAAAGTGTCTAAGCGGTCCAAAATTGAACCGGAATAAATAGGTCTAGACTGGAACACAGACCGATTCAATACGGTCCAGGTCCTTTAAAAATGGTGATTTCGGGTTCCGATCCGGCCCGATTTTGGACCGGTGCACAGCCCTACACACAGATACAAAGTGTGCCTAAGAAATAATATAAATACGAAGAAAAAAAAAAAAAAAAAAAAAAAAAACTTCGAGTTCATCTACTTCAACGCGCTTAACTAAAAAAAAAAAAAATCATACGTGCACCCGAGGCCCGACAACATTTTCGTGGTTTAATCACTACCTATCACGGCATTCAGTCCAAATTTAAGGAGAGTTGAACTTGCGATCTCCGCAAGCCCTTAATATTTCTTCTACACATTTGCGATTTTGTGACCATTTTCTCTCTCCTCTCAAACCACTCAACTTCTTCAGCATCGTCTGTCCTCTTCCCGTTGTATTCTTTTCAATTTAATTGATGTAAGTTCATTTTTTACCCTCGTTTTCTTTTTTAATACCACTTCAGGGGTTTTTACAATTACTTATTATTCTTTGTTAATTGAATTTTTCCGCCTGTTATAATGTGAAAATCCGATCTTCTTCATTTTAGAGTTATGATTGTATAAAAATGATGAATTATTTGTGATTTTAAAGGAGATTACTCCGTCTTTGCTAATTTGAGGGAGATAAATTAAAATGATGAATTATTTGTGATTTTAAAGGAGATTACTCCGTCTTTGCTAATTTGAGGGAGATAAATTGCAAAATTTGGTTACTTGGAAGAAATTATAAGGTTTTGATTGGATTATGCTTTTAATTAGGGTTTATTCAATGCAATTTTGTTGATTGTGATTGTGATATTTTGAATTATAGTTATGGTATTGTTGAGCTTGCTAAGGATATTAACTTCAGTTAATTTGATTCAATGCCACGAGTTCTCGTATAATTTCGCAGTTATTGGGAAACTTTCTTGTTTCTTTTTACATGATATACATAGTCATGTAGTATCATTTCAATTGCTCTTTTTCTCAAATCTTTAGGATCTTTCGATACTACGATTAGATTCTAGTGATCCGATTCTGCACCCTCACTGTTGAATCTAACAAGTTACAACCTTGATTAGACCCCTAAGTATTAGTTTTATTCATATCCTATATTGCTCCTTTGACTTGCTTTCTGCTTTTCTTTCTATTCCTTGTGTTTTTTTATCTTCTTTTAAAGTTTGGTGTGAGTATAAGATATCTCTTCTTGTTATGCCATTTTACTGTTTTTGTGATGGACCATCTGAGACATGTGGTGCTGTGAGAGACTTAAGTATATATCTTTACACTATCTAATGTGATAGGAGACCTTCATCCTATTTTATGGTATAGATTTGTAGTGTAACACCATATCAATTCATTATACATTTTCGGTAAGAATTATGTTGTAAGTGAATGTTTGATGTAGACAATATATGATTGATGGGAATTTGGCGTAACATAGTCTCCCAGATGATGGACAGCTGTTGGGGGTAGTGAGCTGTTAGTTGGATTTGTTCATAGATTGTTGCTGAATTAAATTTGAAAATTAGGATGCACAAAGTTTTTGTTGGATGACACAAAATGAGTGCAAGGAGAGTAGGGAAGAATGGAGTAAGGATAACAAGCTAGAGGTTTTATTTTCTTACGAAGTTTTACATTTTGAGAACAAGAATTACGAAATGAGTTTAAGTAATTGAAAATGGTGTTCGATATGCTTGAAAGTTCAGGCGTCTGTAAATCAGTGCCTGTGAGAAGTACCCTGTAGTCCCTGTTTGGTTGGGGAGCTGCGTTGCAATGCTTGGGGGGGGGGGGATTTTAGTGATGCTCACCTTTCTTCTTTTTAGCTCCTTATGTTTGTTTAAGAAAAAACTTTAAAAAGTATTTTGCATTTCCTCAAGTATGTTTATGCTGACTGGTTATGTTCTAGCTTAGCAATTGATATTCAATGCTTTCTTTGCCAGTTAATTTTATTGTGCTTCGCAAAATGCATCCTCCTTTGACATTACACCGGCACCCAATGTGTGTTGAAGTAAGTTTAAACTTTCTTCTATCACCTTTCTGATCTTATGTCATGTTTGTATATTAGCACCTTGGTTATATTTATGTTGTGCTTGTTATCTGCAGCTGCTGTAGTTTTTAAAGATTAGAGAATTTGATGATGCCATTGTATCTTGCAGATCATTGAGGCATTCCAGAAATGTCATACAGAACACCCCGTAGGCAAATTTTTTGGCGAGTGCACCGATCTTAAAGTTAAACTTGATCGCTGTTTCAGGCAGGAGGTAATTCTTCTTTTTTTTTTTTTTTTTTATCTAATTATGTGCATTGTTTTCTTTTTTTGGGTGGTTGAATAATCATATGTTCATGTTTTCCCTCAGAAAGCTGTAAAGCGAAAGGCAAACTTTGAACAGAGCAAGAAACTGAAAGAAACATTACAAGCGCAGAGGAAAGAAACAGCGGGACAAAGTTAACAAATGATTTGGGCGTTGCAATTGTATGTTTTGCAGTAATAAAGGGTACAGAGGTTGTGTTAGCAGTTAATTGTGCTCATAGCAGTTAAAGAAAGAGGAGCTGTTACTCTGTGTTACTCTTTGTATTGCTGAATTTGTATTCATGTACCAAAAATCTACGAGGATTAGGTGCTATGATATTAATTTTTTGACTTGCGGAGATTGTATAGTTGAATCAATGATACAATAATTTAATGTTGGAGCTTTAGAAAATTCAAGTAGTACAGATCTTGATTGTGTGCCAGTGTGCCACAGATGTGTTATCTTTAAATTTGTTTAGCTCTAAGCAGAAACTGTGATTCAAGGAAATATATATATGTTCTGTTGAGTATTGAGAACTCTTTGCTGCTCATATTCATTTTAAGTTGGAATTAGTTGGGCTGATCCTCTAAAGACCGGACTTCAAGAAACTATATTTGCATTCAGTTAGGACTTGTTCTCTTCAACTTAATTTCAATCCAGTTCCAAATTTCCCTCTCTCATAAACAATTCAGTTTAGTAAATCAGAATAGCTCCTTAAAGGTCTGGACACATTAAAGCATTTAGTGTACTTACTACTGCAGAAGAGTGGGGTTCTCTTCCCCTGCTTGGTACAGAACTTAACAAGTGATAGAGGGAACATGATGAGGGTGTTGTGTTTTTACCATTGTCATAATCATCTCAGTGTTGACGGTGGATGTTTGAATGTTTCTTATAAAGGTGCTAGGGTTGGTGGCAATGTCTAGAACTGTCAATTCGGGTAAACGAGTCGGGTTTGGGTCGGGTCAATTCAGATTAATTCCATAACCTATGCGAGTTGAGTCATGCTTGAGTTGGGTCACGTTGGGTCATATTTCTTATCGGGTTTAGGTCGGGTTAAATTCGGGTCGGGTGAATAATAGGTCGGGTTTTCACGGGTTAAAATGGGTTGGGGTATTTCTCGAGTTCGAGTCGGGTTTAGTTTAAGTCAATCATTTGCGGGTTAGAATCAGGTCGGGTCATTCTCAGGTTTGAGTCGGGTTCAGTTCAAGTCAATAATTTGCAGATTATAATCAGGTCGGGTCATTTTCAAGTCGGGTCATTCTCGGGTTCAAGTCGGGTTCGATTCAAGTCAATAATTTGCGGGTTACAATCAGGTTGGGTTATTTCCAAGTCTAGTCATTCTAGATTCAAGTCGGTTTATGTTCAAGTAAATAATTTGCTGGGTACAATCAGGTCGGGTCATTTTCAAATCAGGTCATATTCGGGTTCAACTAACTATAAATAGATAATTATCATTTTTATCAAGCTAATTATTTCCTTTGACTATAATATATATGGCAATATACAAGGGAACTATATATAGTCTATAATTTAGGAAGATAATTATCTCCTTTGACCATACAACAAATGTATACCATATTTAACTCTTAAATTTGAGGATGATGCTCCTTTCTTTTGTTGGCCTGGACCGACTTGGTCTCCCAAGAAAAAATGTTTTTATCAACAATGATAAGGTGGTCTAAATTGCATTTAAGGTGATTTGAAATCGGGTCAGGAAAATTTTGGGTTGAATTTAGGTTGGGTCAATAACAAGTCGTGTTTATTTCGAGTCGGGTTAGTAAGAGATCGGGTTGAATTTTTGGGTTGGGTAAGTAATAGGAATGGTAAAATTAAGGTCAGGCCTATAACAAGTCGAGTTGAATTTGGGTCAGGTCAACAAAGAGTCGGGTTGATTTTAGGTCAGGATTGTAACAGGTTGGTTAAATTCGGGTCAAGTTAGGAACGAGTCGGGTTGATCAATTCAGGTCAGGTTCATAACAAGTTGGATTAAATTCGGGTTTCGACGGGTTAAAACGGGTTTGAGTCAATTTCAGTTCAAGTCGGGTTCGGTGCAAGTTAATTAAATTGGCCGTTGTAAAGCGGTAAATCGGTGCAAGTTGTAAACCGGTAAATTGGCCGTTTAAAAGCAAATTGAATGGTTCCACACACCCTATTGGACTCCCGGTGGGTATTAGGGACATGGTAAACATTTCGGCAATTTTTATTTCTGGGCGAAAAAAGTCAAAATATTCCAAAATCAAAGGCTAATATCCATGCTTTTTGAGAAATTTTGGAGGTTTCAGGACCCGGTGTCGAAAAGTCTTGAAATTCTATGGGATACATCTTGAGGTCATATAATATTGTTTGGAACCATATATGATCATTATTTGTTGTCATAAATGTTCGTGGTAGACTTGAATTAATGAAATATGTGCAAGTTGTAAACCGGCAATTTGGTCGTTTAAAGGCAAATTGGATGATTCCACCCACCCAATTAGACTCTCATAAGGTATTATGGAGTATGGTAAAAATTTCGGCAATTTTTATTTCCTGGTGAAAAGAAATCAAAAAATTTCAAAAGTATTAACGCTTTTTGAGAAATTCCACCCACCCAATCCACGCTTTTTGAGAAATTTTGGAGGTTTCAGGACCTGATTTGGAAAAGTATTAACATTTTAGGGGATACATCCCGGGGTCATATAATCCCGTTTAGATCCATATATGATCATTATATGTTGTCATAAATATCTGTGGTAAACTTGAGTTAATGAAATCGGTGCAAGTTATAAATCGGTAAATTGGTCGTTTAAAGGCAAATTGGAAGGTTCCACCAACCCAAATGGACTCCCTGAGGATATTAGGGACCATGAAAAACATTTGGGCAATTTTTTATTTCCTGGCGAAAAAAGTCAAAAAATTCCAAAATTGAAGACTAATATCCACGAATTTTGCGAAATTTTGAAGGTTTTGGGACTCGGTGTCGAAAAGTCTTTAAATTCTAGGAAATACATCTTGGTGTCATATAATGCCGTTTAGAACCATATATGATTATTATATGTTTTCATAAATGTTCATGGTAGGCTTGAGTTAATTAAAGAAATCGGTGCAAGTTGTATATCAGTAAATTTGTCGTTTAAAAGTAAATTGGATGGTTCCACCCACCAAATGGAACTCCCGGAGGGTATTAGGGACCATGGTAAATACTTCGTCAATTTTTAATTCTGGACGAAAAAAAGTAAAAAAATTTCAAAAATTGAAGGGCAATATCTACGCTTTTTGAGAAATTTTGGAGGTTTCAGGGCTTGTTGTCGAAAAGACTTGAGGGTTTAGGGAATACATCTCAGGTTTATATAATGTCGTTTGGAACCATATATGATAATTATACGTTGTCATAAATGTTTGTGGTAGGCTTGAATTAATGAAATCGGTGCAAGTTGTAAACCAGTAAATTTGTCGTTTAAAGGCAAATTGGATGGTTCCACCTACCCAATTGGACTCCGGGAGGGTATTATTAATCATGGTAAAAATTTCGGCAATTTTTATTTACGGACGAAAAAAAGTCAAAAAATTCCAAAATTGAAGGCTAATATCCACGTTTTTTGAGAAATTTTAGAGGTTTCGGGTCCCGGTGTCGATAAGACTTAAGATTATAGGGAATATATCTCGGGGTCATATAATGTCATTTGGAACCATTTATGATCATTAATTGTTGTCATAAATGTTTGTGGTAGGCTTGAATTAATAAAATCAGTGCAAGTTGTAAACCGGAAAATTGTTCGTTTAAAGGTATAATGGATGGTTCTAACCATCCAATTGGACTTCCGTGGGGCATTAGCGACCATGGTTAACATTTTGGCAATTTTTATTTTCGTGCGAAAAAAAATCAAAAGATTCCAAAATTGAATGCTTAATATCCATGCTTTTTTAGAAATTTCGAAGGTTTCGGGGCCCTGTGTTGAAAAGAAATGAGATTTTAGGGGATACATCTCGTGGTCATATAATTCCGTTTGGAACCATAATTGATCATTATATGTTGTCATAAATGTTCATGGTAGGCTTGAATTAATGAAATCGATGCAAGTTGTAAACCGGTAAATTGGTTGTTTAAAGGAAAATTGGATGGTTCCTCCCACCCAATTGGACTCCCAAAGGGTATTAGGGACTATAGTAAACATTTCAGAAATTTTTATTTACGGGAGAAAAAAAGTAAAAAAATTCCAAAATTGAAGGCTAATATCCACGTTTTTTGAGAAATTTGGAGGTTTCAGGGTCCGGTGTCGAAAAGGCTAGAGATTTAAGGGGATACATTTCGGAGTCATATAATGCCATTTGGAACCATTATGATCATTATATATATGTTGTCATAAATGTTCGTGGTAGGCTCGAATTAATGAAACCAGTGCAAGTTGTAAATCAGTAAATTGGTTGTTTAAAGGCAAATTGAATGGTTCTGACAGGGTAAAGTCGTATCCCCTAATCAAAAGTAATTACCTAAATCACTAACTAAGGTAGATAGAGAAGTAGGGTCGAACTCCACAGGGAAACAGGTCTTTTTAATTCTAATTAATTAATATAATCTAAATTATCTAAGTAACCAATATTTTAAATGTGAATTCTATATTACGAAGAATGAGTTTAGGGAGAAAAGAATCAATAATAAGTAAACCTAGGGTCACAGGTTCACTAATAATTAATATTCCGGGATAGAATGAAGTAATTAATAATTAACAATGCACAAATAACATGATTAACAGGCTCTCGCAATTTATTAACCAACTTAGATCTAACAGGCTCTCGCAATTTATTAAACCTAAGTTCCTATTAAAAATAGCCTTTAATATTAAATCAACATCTGCTCGATTCATCAATTCAATATTGCTAAACATTCACAATCAGATTACAACTGCTCAATTCATAATCTAATTGCAAAGAATTAGAACAATTCAATAGGAAATTATCATGCAATATCAACAATCAATAATAACAAACTATCCCTTCATATTAATTATGGATCCCCATAAACCCTAGAATTAAACTACTCACTAATCATCATAACTAATCCAATCAAATAAACAATTAAAAACATAAACAAGAAAATAATTAAAATAGCTGAAATTAAAAAGGGAAGAAATTGTACCAAACTAAATCTGAAATTAATGAAGGAATTAAGAACAAGAGTTAGAGAGAATTTAAGAGAGAGAAAAATACTAAGTAGAGAGAGAGAAAGTCTAAGAGAAAGAAGGTCAGTAAATAATCCGTACAAAACGTATATATACTTCCCCTAAAACACGAATTAAACTAAGCTTAATTAGGCTCTAGAAAAACACGCGCCCGATCGGGCGAAGGGGGCGCCCGATCGGGCCCGCCTTTTTCCCCATGCTCAGTCTAAAGTGCCGCGCCCGATCGAGCCTACACTCACCCGATCGGGCGCGCCTTTCCTTGGTAGCAGTCATGCGCGCAGCCGCCCGATCAGGCGTATGCTTGCCCGATCGGGCCCGGTCTTCATCTTCAAGGCTTGGACTTCGATTGGGCTAGATTTCTCGGCCCAATCCATATTTCCTCTCGGGTCTCGAATACATGGTCCAATTGCCTCGTGATCCAAATAACCGAGCCCTTAATCACCGGCTCGATGGCTCTAGCCGGCCTTGGGCTCCAAAAGTGGTCGTGTTCCTCCAATGCTCGTAGTCGCTTCATAAAAATCCCGGGAAAATGCTCCAAAGGTGCAATTCCCTGCAAAACTTAACCAAAACTACGAAAACACTAGAAAACACATATTAGTAATAAAAGTGGCCCTAAAGGGCCAAAAACACTACTAATTATGACCAAGGGACGTGGGTAAAATACTATATAAAATAGACATATCATGTTCCACCCAACCAATTTGACTTCCAGAGGGTATTAGGGACCATGATAAACTATTCGGAAATTTTTATTTCCAGGCGAAAAAGTCAAAAAATTCCAAATTTGAAGGCTAATATCCACGCTTTTTGAGAAATTTTTGACGTTTTGGGGCCCGGTGTCGAAAAGTTTTGAGATTTTAAGGAATACATCTCGGGGTCATTTAATGCCATTTGGAACCATCTATGATCATTATATGTTGTCATAAATGTTTGTGGTAGGCTTGAATTAATAAAACCGGTGCAAGTTGTAAACCGGCAAGTTGACCGTTTAAAGAAAAATTGGATGGTTCCATCAATCCAATTGGAATCCCATGGGGTATTAGGGACCATGGTAAACATTTCGATAATTTTTTTTTACATGCGAAAAAAGTCAATAAATTCCAAAATTGAAGGTTAATATCTCCACGTTTTTTGAGAAATTTTGGAGGTTTCGGTTCCTAGTGCCAAAAAGACTTGAAATTTTAGGATTATTATATATCGAGGTCATATGATGTCGTTTGGAACCATTTATGATCATTATTTGTTGTTATAAATGTTCGTCGTAGGCTTGAGTTAATGAAATCGGTGCAATTTGTAAACTGGTAAATTGGTCGTTTAAAGGCAAATTGGATGGTTCTACCCACCCAATTGGACTCCCAGAGGGTATTAGGGACCATGGTAAGCATTTCGGAAATTGTTATTTCCGTGCGAAAAAGTCAAAAAATTCCAAAATTGAAGTCTAATATCTACGCTTTTTGAGAAATTTGGAGGTTTCGGGTCCTGGTGTCGAAACGACTTGAGATTTAAGGGGATACATTTTGGAGTCATATAATGCCGTTTGGAACCATATATGATCATTATTATATTTTGTCATAAATGTTCGTAGTAAGCTTGAGTTGATGAAATCGGTGGAAGTTGTAAATCGGTAAATTGGACGTTTAAAGGCAAATTGGATGGTTCCACTCAACCAATTAGACTCCCAGAGGATATTAAAGACCATGGTGAACATTTTGGCAATTTTTATTTCCGGGCGAAAAAAAGTTAAAAAATTCCAAAATTGAAGGCTAATATACATGCTCTTTGCAAATTTTGGAGGTTTCGGGTCTTAGTGTCAAAAAGGCTTGAGATTTAGGGGGATACATTTCGGAGTCATATAATGACGTTTGGAACCATATATGATCATTATATGTTGTCATAAATGTTCGTGATAGCCTTGAATTAATGAAATCGGTGCAAGTTGTAAATCGGCCCAGTAAATTGGTCGTTTAAAGGCAAATTGGATGGTTCCACCCAACCGATTTGATTCCCACAGGACCATGGTAAACATGTTGGAAATTTTTATTTCCAGGCAAAAAAAAAAGTCAAAAAATTCCAAAATTAAAGGCTAATATCCACACTTTTTGAGAAATTTTTGAGGTTTCGTGGCCTGGTGTCGAAAAGTCTTGAAACTCTAGGGGATATATCTCGGGGTCATATAATGTCGTTTGGAACCATAAATGATCAATATTAGTCGCCATAAATGTTCCTGTTAGGCTTGAATTAATGATATTGGTGTAAGTTGTAAATCGGTAAATTGGTCGTTTAAAGGTAAATTGGATGGTTCCACCCACCCAATTGGACTCCCGGAGGGTATTTGGGACCATGGTAAACATTTTAGCAATTTTTATATTCGGGCGAAAAATTGTCAAAAAATTCCAAAATGAATAATATTTCTACTCTTGGTGACAAGGATTTGGAGAACCGGCAAATTATTAGGGGTGTTGCTGTTGTCTGATGCGTTAACTATGTGAATTCCAGGTAGGTAGTGCTAAACTGGGGTTTGATATGGGTAGGTAGTGCTAATACTGGCGTTTGCTATATAGGTAATTAGAAAAGGGAATGAACAAGCTTGATTCTTTTATTGCTGTTTGTAATGTAATGTCATTTTAATCATTTTCTTCACCTTGTTCATACCCCCAAACTCCCCAAACTTCTTTATTGCTGTTGGTCTTATTCCAAGGTCTAACTATTGCAAATTTGGCTAACATTCATATCTCACATAACAGGAAACTTCTCAAGTTGAAGTTTCAAATATGACATATTGCCTGAGGTTAAAGCATTAATCTTTGGTTCGCCTCATACGTGGTCATCAACATAAGTCGTTTTCATTTAGACATTTAGTTGTGAGAGTTTCTAACAAGCTCACAATATGATCTGATCGGCATGATTCCACTGATTTTAAAATTTCAGTAGGTATTGTCTTTTGTCTAGATGTAATTGTAGATTTGTGAATTGTACGAATAGTTTTAGAGCAATTCCACCACCATTAAAAAAAAACAAAACACCTACGCATGAGGTTCTTCATTTTCTATACAGAAATATTACAAGTCCTGTTTTTTAAAGGCCTTCATAATGCCAATTATAAGCCTGTTCCAAAGACGACCAACATTGTTTAACGTTTTCATTAAGCAACTTTCCAACCACCACGAATAATGCCTTGAAAACTTATCGCAGTCACCTGAATCAAACCTTTTGACCACAGGCTGACAAATTGTAGGTTGTCTTTTTGACAGCATCTCTTGCTTATTGAACCAACCAAACAAAACTCTAGTCTCTTATAAATATTTATAATAGCTAGTCAAAACCGTGATCTATATTATAATTGATCTTAGCAATTTGATAAGGTCAACAAGCAAGCAGCCAAAGAAGTTGATAATCTGCAGCATAAGAACTGAAAAACACCATGGATAGATCTTTTCAACCTCTTCCAATGTTTGCAGGCTTTCCTCAAACAGCGTCCTTGATAGCATCGTTGATCATGATATCTGAGGAGATCTCCTCAATAAGTAATCTCCCTCCGATACAAGTAAAAAACATCTTAGCCATTACTCGGAGAATCAGACTGCTTTCTCCTTTGTTTACAGAGATGCAAGAGTTAGACATCCCGCTTCTTCCATCTGCAATCCTGTGCTTTATTGAGCTCTTGTCTCTGATGACAAGAGCAAAGCTTCTGATCCAAGGATGCACTGAAAGTAGCTACCTGTGGAGCCTCATTCAAACAGAAATCTTGTCAAAGGAATTCGATGCAATAGTGAAAGATATCAGCAAAGCTCTTGATATATTATTACCTCTACAATTGATGAATATAAGCATAGATATTAAAGAAGTGGAGCTTATGTGCAATCTGGCAAAAAGGGTAGATTTGGTAGTTGATCCCAAAGAGTTGGAAAGAAGGAAAGAAGTGCTTCAGATAATAGCTACTTCGAAGGAAAAGAACGATAAGAGCTATGGTTTCCTAGACATAAAAAGAGCAAGAGAGCTTTTGAGCAGCATTGGCTTGAGAAGTTCAGTTGACTTTGCTGAAGAAATCTCCAAATTAAAGGCAGAAGCAGCAAGTCAGGGAGGTACAGGTGGACCTATAGTTGTTTCAAGAATAAATAGTCTCATCTCATTACTTTCATATCTCAGGTCTATGATTTTTAGTTTTGAAGATAATGAAACCACTCTACTCTTGAAGCAGAAAACTGCTGCAGAAAATCTTGCTGCATCAACATCTTCATCTTCACGAGCAATACTGACAGATGTTCCCAATGAATTCCGTTGCCCAATTTCACTAAAGATAATGAGAGAGCCAGTCACAGTAGCAACTGGATACACTTATGACCGATACTCAATTTCTAAGTGGAACAATTCAGGGCGTAGAACATGCCCGAAGTGTGGGTGGAAGCTAACACACATGGCTCTAATACCCAACTACAACCTGAAGAGTCTGATCCATCAATGGCACCAGGACAACAATATCCCTCTAAATGAACTTACAACCTCTTCCTCAGAGCATCAGAATTTTTACTAGGGAAACTTGCAACTGCATCTCCAGAAATGCAATGTAGAGCGGCCTATGAGATCCGATTGCTAGCAAAAAGCAGCATGGAAAACAGAAAAATAATAGCTGAGGCCGGAGCAATTCCATTTCTGGTGAACTTACTAAGTTCCCATGAGCCAGCAATGCAGGAAAATGCTGTGACTGCATTGTTGAACCTGTCCATCCACAATGACAACAAAATTTTGATCATGGAAGCTGCAGCACTTCAAAAGTTAATACTTATTCTAGAATATGGAAAAACCGTGGAGGCAAAGGAAAATGCAGCTGCAACAATTTCAAGTTTGTCAATCATTGATGATCACAAGGCAAGTATTGGAGTACAACCCAGAGTGGTAACAGCCCTGATACGTCTCTTGCGAGAAGGCATCACGAGAGGGAAAAGAGATGCTGCAACGGCGCTAATTAACCTTTCACTTTACAATCCAAATCAGAGGACAGTAGTACATGAAGGGGCAGTACCTTTGCTTATTAATATATTGACGGATGAAAAGGCAGGAATCACTGATGATGCCTTGACACTGCTTGCATTGCTCTCAGGATCTTCTGAAGGAATGGAGGAGATCACCAGAAGCAAAGATCTCATAGCCTTTCTTATTGATGTCCTGAAACTTGGATCTCCAAAAGGTAAAGAGAATTCAGTCATTCTTCTTTTGGCTTTAACCAAAGATGGAGCTGAAGTTGTGAGACATTTGGATTCCCAAAGCTTTTCATTAATCCGGAGATTGGTAGCTAAAGGGTCATCTGAAGCTCGAGAAAGGGCTAGTCTGTTGCTCAGATTACTCATCAAATGCTGCTCCAATCCTGCGAATCTTTAGCATAGAAAGTAGATGAAGAAAAATCAAGAGCAACAATAAAATTTTCATACTTCACTTCTTGTTAGGGTTAAAAACCTATTTTCTGCATCGATTAAAATAGAATAATAAAAAGATCTAAACTGCTCAGCTGTAGCAATTCAGGTGGTGTGGATTCTTATATAAATACAAATTCTTTTCTTTAATTCGCTTTCAGGAAAGCAGGAAAATGAGTGATATGGGTATGATTGCCAATTTGCTTTCAGTACAAACAAATACTACTTGAAAGAAAAAAAACAAAGAAAAATTATATAAGATAATCATTGTATGCAATTGGTAGCTCCTCTATGATGATTAATGTCATGAGCTTTTCAAAAAGATAACAGTAAGAAAAGAAACTGCAGAAAGAATAATGGGAAGATTGGATAATAACATTTAAAGAAATCATGTCACCTTACAGAGCAATGATAGAGATATGCTTATTTTGAAGGCTCCATCTCCTTCATGTACAGCAAAAGTTGGTCCCTATATATGACAGAATGTAGAGGTATGCCACAGCTTCAGAAACAATGAGGCCTTCAAACTCTTGGAGACTGATGAGTTCAATGAGTTCAACAGGAATAACATACGTCTGTCATATGATGTCATGTCGTCATAAAAGGAAAAGTTACACACTACTAAGCAACATATCATCAAAAAACATATAAATTATGCATTGATATAGGTAGGATGGAATTTTAAATCACGAGAACTACATAACATTACTTCATTAATAAATAAAATTTACAAACAATTATGATATTTTACATATCATGTACAAGCAGAGGTTAAATCATAGAATATGTGCGTTGAGAGATAGCGAGAGGCCAATTTTAAAGGAGATACAAGCCAATCCTAATCTCTTTTATAGCACATTCGCAAAGAATGCCGTGTGAAGGTTCAACTTCTGTTCAACCAATCAGAGGATACAGCAGAACATTCATCTCCCAAGTTCTTCTGTGAACAATAATTCACATCGGTGGAAGTGAAGAATGCAGTTAGTGCATCACAATTCTACCATTTCCAACTTTACATGTGCTCCATCCATCTTGTAATTCCAAAACCAGCTTCCAGTATCTTTCTTAGAGTCTTCAATAGGGTCTAATTGCAATGATATACCTGCAATTAGCAATAACCCCATTATATAAGTCTCCAGGAAACCGATTAGTGAGCAAAATCGGCAAAATTTATGGTTTTCTCCAATGTCTAATCTTAAACTTTGACTTGGACAGCTATCTTTATCAAACTTGGGTGTTGGGTCAAGGAAATGAAAGAATATCTTTGACTTTCCATAAAATATTTTTTTACCCCACAGCCAAGAATTACAATGACAAGAAAATCATAAATCCTATATTTAAAATGTCAATAGCTTCTCAAGTGAGCCCATCTTTCTGTCTTTGACAATTCATTTAAATCTTGTCTCCAGTATGAAAGAAAATACTAGACAGGCAGGCACATTCACAAGTAATACAAAAAAATAACTCCCAGCATCCCAATATTTCTTTTTATCTTTTTCATTCTCATCAGCTCTTCTCTCTATACCTTAGCACTAAATGTCTTACTTATACAAATCCATCCACCTTTCAAATTTTTATAACAGATAAAACTTTTGGAAAACTCAAGCTTTATTTTAGAACAGGGGGCATAAATAAGTAGCCATCAGAAAAATTGTTGCTACTAACCTGGATCTGCAGATATAATCTTTAACCTATAACCATCAGGAACCTCAAATAAATGATTTCCCTGCATCATGAACCACATGAACAAAAAGCATTACATGATAAATTATAAGTGAACAAGTGGAACTGCATAATCTGCTTTAAATAAAAGCTTTACAATGAGTAACAAAAGGAAGTGTCGAGATCTAAATCAACCAATGACATTTATATAATCTGATTCTATACTAATTCAGTCAGCAAAACATTGAACATACGTCAAACCTGTTTTAAAACATTCTCCATGCCAAAATATGTACTCCGCATCAAAAAAAAAAAAATGCACTTTTGCATTAAAAGCAAGGTCTTTACACATGCAACAGTCCAGACAGAGTTTCCTCTCCCATTTCTACATCAGGCAGTCATGATAGATACACTAATGACAGCTATATGTCACTCTTTCAGTCTTTCTCAAACAAAGTGTCATCAGTTATGACAGTGATATCATGAAGTCACATGAAAATTTCTGATTAAGTTATTTACCTCTAGAGTAACATCAGTAGCCTCAAATTCAGCATTTCCATGCAGCATAACTTTCAAACACTCATTCCGATGCACTTTGTGCCTCCAGTAAATATTTTCTCCAGATTCCCAGTCAATTCCTTTGTTCAGTACCTTGACATTCTGCAACTTGCACTTTGCACATCTAAAGAAATCCATAACATAGGTTAGCTGAGTTTGCATACTTTATCTCTTTGTAAGGCAATAGAAATGGTTGCAAAAATCACCTGTGACCATACTCTAACAGAGGTTCCCCACTCTCATCAGTCTTCATAGTGCCCATCACATTTTCAGCAACAACAATCATGCTTCCATCAAGCTGAAAACGTAGCAAAGTCAGCTTCAACAACAAAGATTCTTAAGACTCATTATACTAGCTTCTGTCAAGTAACACCTGAACATCTCTCCAGAAGAATTCAGCGAGCTCAATTTGCAACTCTGAGCCCTTGGAGATGGAACCTCCTTGAAACTGGGAATGAAGACAGAAGGCATAATCAGATATTGCATATGACAAAGATGGATTATTTGACAAAGAGCTATTAAGCTTCAAGGAGAATATAGCTAACCTTTTGCCTAGAAACCTCCCAAAGAGGGCCCAAAGCAGGATGCAAAAAGATGAGATATGGTGGACCAGCATTCATGTAATTCTCATTTCCTCCCACCTGCAAGATACATAGAAATATAGAATGAGTTCCAATCACTAACATTGGTCAAGATGCATAATATATTACAATTATGATGCCTTTGGTAGTTTCTTCTGATTTTTAATTCAAGGGAAGTTTTCACCATTTCTTTCTGATTAAAGTATTATCCCATGGCAAAGAGAAACTAGTAGGGGCCTTAAAAGTGAAACAGATTTCAAGGAAATAGAGAATTTGTTACTTGGTTAGCAATAAATCCATTTGAGACTAGCAACAAAGGACACAAGTTTGAGCAAATTTCCAGAAGAAAAGAGAAATCCTACTGATCTTCACACACAAAAATTTACTTACCCTAATTAGTTAATGTAGTTCTACATGACCAAGAGAAATATCAGGTTTAACAAGAGTAGGCACAAAGCATTGTGGCATGTGGTAAGCATCATTAAAATGAGAAGTGGCTAATGGGCTCACAGCTAGCAACTTTCCTTATTTTCTAGGAATTAAATTTCCTTGAAAAAGTCAAGTCTAACAAAAGCACCATAATTATATTGTTTATCACGAGAAATTATAAGCCAAAGTCACCAAAACTGACATACTTCAGGAATTTTTATATTACAGTAGGAAAGGAGATCGTAGGCATTCCTCGTAATATCCAACAATGCTCCATCTGGAGTCTGCAAGAAGCAGAAAAGATATTAGCTCCTTCATTATTAATCCATGCTTAAGCACTTAACGCTCCATATCTAAGCCAAACAATAAATGGTTGCATCACTGCAGAGGTTATACCCCAATACAAAAGTAGGCTCATTGAATTTTTTGGTGTTCTTCAAGGTCAAATTTTCCATTGCTTATTTTTATTATTATGTTAGCACACAAAATTATTATTATTATTTTTTTTTTTTATAAAAAAAAAGTCCTACTGAGACAGAAAATTGTAATTTTATACCATTAATAATATCACATAATCACTTGCACATACAAATCTATAAATCTTTTAACAGATCAATGGTAACAAATAATGGACTTCAGCATTTAAATTAAAACAAGCCTTTAGTTTGGGAGAGAGGATAGTTTACCTGGTTTAGCGACTTACCACCCTGCCTTCTTTTTTTCTTGGCAGATGAGGTGACCCTTCTTCGTTCATTATAAACCATAAATGTATCTAGGACATCTGCTATCGTCGATTGATATTAGAAACATATATATGGAAAACAGAAATTAATGAAGGTAAGACTAAACTCAAAACTACGAAGGAAATAGTGGACCTTCTTTTACTCCATAACAACGAGATGGATACGTATTGCAGAAGTTGTCAGCAATATTTTGCATTGTGCATTCAAGCCTGCCACCAGAAACACTGCAGCATGCACACAAGAGGTAAGGAGAGCCATAACTAAAGTTAACCCTCCCTGCCCTAACTTGAATTGACTTAAACTAAAAGGGGTAAGTGTGTGCATAGAGGCACCACTTCGCATTTCTTTTCTAATCTGTTTGTAAATGACATAATTGTGTTTTTGTAGCAAGAATTATTGGTCATCATACCTGTGCTTGATGCCATAATGGTCCACAAATTCAATTTGTTTTTTAATATTTAGAACCAATCCTGGTAAACTGCTCTCATCATTGTGTGATCCAACTTGCTCCGCAGAATGCAAATCAACATACAAAATGTTTGTATTGGCTGGGAACTCCGCTAGCATGCTGGGGAAGGTAGAAATCAGGATAAAACACTTTTTAAAGGTTAGAGATAAGAGTAACAACTAACAAGGAATCACGGATATATATACAGAGGGATAACTGTATTAATAAATTAACTAATCAGAACGAAGATTTAATGCTTATACACAGCATTTTAACCTCTTTGATGAAGAAGCTGCTGGGATCCCAAATTTATCGAACTCAGTGTATTCAATGCATGAAAATCCATAAGCCCACTTGCCGCTAATCTCCTTCTTCTCAACGAGAACATTAATTCCTTCAGTAGCCCCAGCAGTCCTCTGACAAGATGCAAAGCCTAATTTCTGCACAGATAGCACGTATAAGAAAATAATGGTATAAACACAAAAGGCTTAGGAAAAGAGGGAGGAAAAAAAAAAGATAAGATAGATGCCACCAATTCTACAGAAACATAGAGTATGTCCAAATCCTAACCTTTTACAACTTTTTTTTTGGTAGTTTGTTCAACAGCTGCCATCACAGCAATAAACCAAAGCAACAGATAAATAGTCTCTCAATAGTGTACTTCCTCCGCTCCCTTTAGCGCAACACTTGAAAATTTACACTTTTCACATTCTTATAAGTGACCCTTAATTATAGTTTGATATGTTGAGCAAAATATAGTCATGTGGAGGGATCTTGTTAGATTTGTCTTAATTTATACTTTCACAATATCTGATTTTTATAATTTTTACTTGTATATTATTAGAGATACGAAGGGTTAAAACTGAATAAATTCTTTTGGATTCACCTACTTTACTAGATACTAGATGTAACACGGTTCTAGTAAATCATTCTATTTTTGTATATTTATGAAGATCATTCATTAGATATATGGATTTTTTTTTTTAATATCATAAGATAATTTTTTTAATTTAACACTGAAGTTATGTTTTGTTGTTTTATTTATTTTATGTGACACTTGAATTTAAAATTCAAAACCTTATTCACTAATTTTGCTTATGTGACAATTTAAATTTTTAATTCAAAAAAGAAATGACAAATCTCGTTTTTT